CGTCATAGTCGATACCATGTATTTGACGATATCCTTTTGCTACCAATCGTGCCTTGAAGGTTTGCACCTTACCATCCATGTCAGTCTTCTTTTTGAAGACCCATTTGCACCCAATGGGTTTGATCCCTTCGGGTGCATCAACCAAAGTCCATACTTGGTTGGTGTACATGGAATCCATTTCGGACTGCATGGCTTGACGTCATTCCTCAGCCTCGGGACAACTGATTGCCTCGAGGTAGGTCTCCGGCTCATCCTGGTCGATAAGCATTACGTCACCCTCAAAGGTTAGGAGGAATCCATACCTTTCAGGTTGTGTGCGTAACCGGTTAGACCTACGGGGTTCTTGTGTATCTTGAGCATTTTGAGGTACAATAGTTTGTTCCTCTAGCTCATGTTCCAGAACCGGCGCGGTAGTTTCTTCATCGTCTCGAATTTCTTCGAGCTCTATCTTTCTCCCGCTAGTTGCGATGGAGAGAAATTCCTTCTCGAGGAAGACACCATTGCGAGCAACGAATACCTTCTTATCGATAGGGTGATAGAATGAATACCCTCGAGTTTCCTTTGGGTATCCCACGAAGAAACACTTATCAGACTTGGCGTCAAACTTGCCATTCGTCAAAAGACGTTTGACATAAGCCTCACAGCCCCAAATCTTTAAGTGTGACAGAACCGGGCATTTGCCCGTCCATAGCTGGTATGGTGTTCCTTCAACCTCCTTGGTTGGAACTCGGTTAAGAGTATATATTGCAGTGCTCGGCGCATACCCCCAGAATGATTCTGGTAGAGTCGAATGACCCATCATAGAACGAACCATGTCAAGCAGTGTTCGATTCCTCCTTTCAGAGACACCATTCCATTGTGGAGTCCCAGGAGGTGTGAGTTGGGATAAAATCCCATGCTCTCTAAGATAGTCATCGAACTCACCACTTAAGTATTCTCCACCTCGATCGGATCATAGTGTTTTAATACTTTTGCCAAGTTGTTTTTCAACTTCATTCCTGAATTCTTTGAACATTTCAAAGGATTCTGACTTGTGTTTCATGAGATACACATAGCCATATCTACTGAGGTCATCAGTAAAAGTGATGAAGTATGAATAACCACCTCGTGCAGTTGTATTGAAAGGCCCGCACACATCACTATGAATGAGTGCCAGAAGATCACCAGCTCTTTCACCGTGTCCGGTGAAAGGAGATTTGGTCATCTTACCCAATAAACAAGATTCGCATGTGTCATATGATTCAAGATCAAATGACTCCAGCATTCCCGACCGATGTAGCTTGGATATGCGTTTCTCGTTTATATGGCCTAACCTACAATGCCATAGGTATGTTTGGTTCAAACCGTTCGGTTTGTTCCTCTTGGCTGATATGTTATAGACAGGCATGTCCAAGTCAAGGACATATAACCCATTGGTCATGTTGGCATTAGCATAGAAAACATTCTTTCTGTAAACGGAAAGGGACTTGTCTTTAATAGAAATGATGAAACCACTCTTATCAAGACATGAAACAGAAATAATGTTTCTGCTAATTGCAGGAACGTACAAGCAATCGTTTAATTCCAACATTAGACCACTAGGCAAGACTAAACTATAAGTTCCGATTGCCAAAGCTGCAACAGGTGCACCATTGCCGACTCGGAGTTCAATCTCGCCTCGAGCTAACCGTCTACTCTGCTTCAGTCCCTGCATGGTAGTACAGATATGAGACCCACATCCAGTATCTAGTACCCATGATGAAGATATAGACATGTTAACTTCTATAACATACACCTCAGAAGAAAAGGTCGTACCTTCCTTCTTCTTGGTTGTGAGGTATGTCTTGCAGTTTCTTCTCCAGTGGCCTGCCTTACCACAGTGATGACATTTTCCCTTTGCAACTCCTCCTATGGGTTTCTGGGTTGCAGATGAAGTGGACTTCGATTTAGGCTTTCCGACCGTCCTAGCCTTAATCTTGATCCCTTTCTTCGGCTTCCCCTTTCCGCCTTGGACCATAAGGACGGAAGCACCCATGCCCTTAGTAAGGTTCTCCTCTGCAGTCTGGAGCATTTTAAGAAGCTCCGGAAGGGGTTTGTCAAGATCATGCATCATGTAGTTGATTTGCAGTATAAAACGGGCAAAAATAACAACTAAAAAGAATCCCTTGTAAGTAGGGTGTCGAACCTCAGGGAGACGCGAGTTAATTTAATTTAAACAAAAATTTACAAAAGAAGTTGTAAAATGTTTTGGTCTTTTTGGTTTTAGAGATAAAATAAAAAGTGTAAAAGAAGAGAGTTCCAAACAACACAAAGTTTTTGATGTTGAAAAGTTAGGGGTATAAATTGGTAAATTAATTGTCCAATGTTTTTATAAAAGTTGGATTGTCAATTTATTTTTATATAGAATGTGTGGAGTTGCGGAAAAGTATTCAGGGACGCTCTCGCAGTTCACCTAAATAATAACTACTCCGACTTTAACACGCTAATGATAAATCCGGAGTAATTATTTAGTAGCAACGGTAACCATAATTATTTTATTGTATGTTTACCCAATTTAATGGTGTAAGAATACAACTCAATAATTATGTAACACCCCAACCCGCATGACCCAAACCCGTGAGACAGCGGACCGGTGTGCCACTAAATTGGTATTCGAATTTGCGACATTTTCAAAACAATTTTAAACAAACGTTCTTTCAATACATATGAAAATCCATCGGAGTAATTTAAAATAATGCGGAAGCCTTTTTAAAGTCAAACAACTTGGGATCTTGCCCGAAAAC